ATGAAAACCGTACCCTGTGATAGTGGGAAAACCGTACCCTGTGATAGTATGAAAACCGTATCCCGTGATAGTGGGAAAACCGTACCCTGCTTATAGTTGGAAAACGGTACTCTGTGATAGTGGGAAAACCGTACCCTGTTATAGTTTGAAAACCGTACCCTGGTTATAGTGGGAAAACCGTACCCTGTGATAGTGTGAAAACCGTACCTTATTATAGTGTGAAAAACGTACCCTGTGATACTGCGTTGATCTTTCGAATTTTCCCAGTCAGCATCGCAAAAGCCTTGTTTATTCACTGAAAAATTTCTCGATTCGCGTGCAGTTTGTCTTCTTTTTATTCCATATATCTTTTTGGTATTAATATTTATATACATGAATATATATATATATATATATATATATATATATATATATATATATATATATATATATATATATATATATATATATAGATGTTGTTTGTTTGTGTGTGTGTGTCTGTATTTATGTATGTATATACATGTGCGTACAACTTTATATGCGGATATTGATCTATACGTAGTGTGTAAAAAATCTTCCATATTAAATGTAAAAACGAAGTGACCTCATTAAATTTGGTGTTTAAAGATAAAAGATTGAGGAACCAATTTTAAAAAAATAAACAAACAAACAAATTATAAATTAAATTAATTATGAGAAGAAGTTTGGCAAATTTAAATTGTTTACACTTCAAATTCGATTAGGTTTAAACTTGGAATTTAAGCTTCAACCTTAAAACAGTCGGGAAAAATCAATGAGTTGCGCATCAATATGATTTTTGATGAAAAAAATTCTGGATAAATATTTGCACAAACTTCGTAACATTTTCTTTCTTTCTTTCTTTCTTTCTTTCTTTCTTTCTATTCAGTGGAAATCATTTATTTGCTTTGTTTTGCTTTCTTTCTCTTCCAAAATCTTATTTAGGTCTGAGATGTTTTTCTTTATTTTTACAATTTCACTCCTTCCTATTAAGGCATGAGAAGCATTAATTTCTGACTTTTTTTAATACTGTCTATATTTCTTTCTTTCTTCCTTTCTTTCTTTATTTCTTTTTCTTTCTTTCTTTCTTTCATTTCTTTCTCTCTTCCTTTCTTTCTTTCTTTTTCACAATTTCACTCCTTCCTATTAAGGCATGAGAGGCATTAATTTCTGACTTTTTTTAATACTGTCTATATTTTCTTTCTTTCTTTCTTTTTCTTTCTTTCTTTCTTTCATTCATTTCTTTCTTTCTCTCTTCCTTTCGTTCTTTCTTTATTTCTTTTTTTTCTTTCTTTCTTTCTTTCTTTCTCTCTTGCTTTCTTTCTTTCTTTCTTTTTTACAATTTCACTCCTTCCTATTAAGGCATGAGAGGCATTAATTTCTGACTTTTTTAATACTGTCTAAATTTCTTTCTTTCTTTCTTTATTTCTTTTTCTTTCTTTCTTTCTTTCATTTCTTTCTCTCTTCCTTTCGTTCTTTCTTTTTCACAATTTCACTCCTTCCTATTAAGGCATGAGAGGCATTAATTTCTGACTTTTTTAATACTGTCTAAATTTCTTTCTTTCTTTCTTTATTTCTTTTTCTTTCTTTCTTTCTTTCTTTCATTTCTTTCTCTCTTCCTTTCGTTCTTTCTTTTTCACAATTTCACTCCTTCCTATTAAGGCATGAGAGGCATTAATTTCTGACTTTTTTTAATACTGTCTATATTTCTTTCTTTCTTTCTTTCTTTCTTTATTTCTTTTTCTTTCTTTCTTTCTTTCTTTCTTTCTTTCTTTCTTTCTTTCTTCCTTTCTTTCTTTTTTTTTCACAATTTCCTCCTTCCTATTAAGGCATGAGAGGCATTAATTTCTGACTTTTTTTTAATACTGTCTATATTTCTTTTCTTTTTTTTTTCTTTATTTTTTCTTTTCTTTCTTTCTTTTCTTTCTTTCTTTCTTTTTCTTTTTTTTTTCTTTCTTTCATTTCTTTCTCTTTTCCTTTCTTTCTTTCTCTTTCTTTTTTCACAATTTCCTCCTTCCTATTAAGGCATGAGAGGCATTAATTTCTGACTTTTTTTTAATACTGTCTATATTTCTTTCTTTCTTTTCTTTCTTTATTTATTTCTTTTTTTCTTTCTTTCTTTCTTTCTTTCTTTCTTTCTTTTTCTTTCTCTTCCTTTTCTTTTCTTTTCTTTTTCACAATTTCACTCCTTCCTATTAAGGCATGAGAGGCATTAATTTCCTATACTTTTTTTTTATTTTTTATTTCTATTTTTCTTTCTTTCTTTCATTTCTTTCTTTTCCTTTCTTTTTTCTTTTTTTTCTTTCCTTTCTTTTTCTGACTTTTTTACTGTCTATATTTCTTTCTTTCTTTCTTTCTTTTCATTTCTTTTTTCTTTCTTCCTTTCTTTTTCTTTTTTTTTCATTTTTTCTCTTCCTTCCTTTTCTATTTCCAGAGGTATTAATTTCTGACTTTTTTTTTTTTAATACTGTCTATATTTCTTTCTTTCTTTCTTTCTTTCTTTATTTCTTTCTTTCTTTCTTTCTTTCATTTCTTTTCTCTTCCTTTCTTTTCTTTCTTTTCACAATTTAACTCCTTCCTATTAAGGCATGAGAGGCATTCATTTCTGACTTTTTTTAATACTGTCTATATTTCTTTTTTTCTTTCTTTCTTTATTTTCTTTCTTTCTTTCTTTTCTTTCTTTCTTTCTTTCATTTCTTTTCTTCTCTTCCTTTCTTTCTTTTTTTTCACAATTTCACTCCTTCCTATTAAGGCATGAGAGGCATTAATTTCTGACTTTTTTTTAATACTGTCTATATTTTTCTTTCTTTCTTTTTCTTTCTTTCTTTCTTTCATTCATTTCTTTCCTTCTCTCTTCCTTTCGTTCTTTCTTTCTTTCTTTTTTACAATTTTACTCCTTCCTATTAAGGCATGAGAGGCATTACTTTCTGCCTTTTTTTTTCAGAATTTCTTTCTTTCTTGCGCTTTTTCTTTCTTTCTTTCTTTCTTTCTTTGTAGCCAAATTTCTTTCATTTGCTTCTTTGTCATTTTTCTTTCTTTCTATCTTTCTGCTCGATCCAAGTTTCATTTCTTGGTCTTTCTTTCTTTCTTTCTTTTTTTTCTTTCTTTCTTTCTTTCTTTCTTTGGTTGAATACCAATTTCTTTCATTTTCTTCTTTGTCTTTGTTATATTAAAGCTTATGGTAGCGAGAGAAATGAATAACAAGGATTTGAGTGAAACAACCTTTATTGTTGGTAAATAGAACAGGAGTGGCGATCTGGTATAAGTGTCAGGAGTGAACCATGTCTTGTGACGGCGTGGCCGAGGTCACATGATACGGTTGGTGCGCGTTTGGTTGAGGGAGGTCACGGTTGTAGGTCGTCTTGCCGGTTTTGCGACCTTTTGTGTTCAAACGGAGTGTCGTCGGATAGGCGTGGTCCTTTGTAGCCCTGTTCTGTGGAGCGGATGTTGCTGGGTTCGAATGCGAAGGGAATGCCTTATAAACGAGTTCAGGTAGGCCGAAGTGACGGCGGGTGTTGGGAGGCGAGTTCTGTGGAACGGAGGTCGTTGCGTCGACTGCGAAGGGAATGACTAGTAAACGAGTCGAGGTGGGGCTGTTCTGTGGAACGGGGGTCATTGCGTCGACTGCGAAGGGAATGCCTTTTAAACTAGTCGAGTTAGAGCTGTTCTGTGGAACGGAGGTCGCTGCATCGACTGTGAAGGAAATGCCTTGTAAATGAGTAGAGGTATTTCGAAGCAGGTTGAAGCAGGCCAAAGTGACGGCGGGTGTTGGTATCGATGGAGGCTTGCAGCTGGGAGGAATCGAGGTTGGAATGTTTTGAGTTGAAACTGGATAGCCGATGTTGTAGGTAAAGCCAGGAAGTGGTAACGGTCGTTGAAATGTGCAGTCATGTTGAATGATGGCGGTGAAGGCAGCGACGGTGGCAGTAGTAGTGCTTTGCCTGGTGGCCGGTCCACAATTCTGTTGCCATAGGGACAAGGTCATGGCGGCAGTAGCAGCAGCAACACCCGGCGTGACAGCTGGCGGCTCTACCAGGTCGCAACTGTGTTTGGTTATTTTCAAAGCTTGTTTTTAAGCAGGTCTGGTAGTCCCACGGGGCGCCTCTTTTACCGGCGGAAACGTTCGCGATTAGCTCCAGCTAGGGCTCATTTCGTAGACCAGACGTGGTGCGTGGAACCCAATGCGCAGAAAACTACTTTTGTTATTTCGTTTTCTGCTTTCGAGGCGTTCACATCCGGCCAACGTGCAGAGTGAGATCTAATTGTGACGGAGTATAACATCTCTTTCATTCCTTCTTTATTCTTTTTTGTTCGAGACAAATTCATTGCATTTGTTTGTTGAGCTGTATTTATTTATTTCTTTCGTTGGAGCCAAATTCCTTTCATTTTCTTCTTTCTTTCTTTCTTTCTTTCTTTCTTTCTTTCTTTCTTTCTTTCCAAATTCTTTTCATTTTCTTCTTTCTTTCTTTCTTTCTTTCCAAATTCTTTTCATTTTCTTCTTTCTTTCTTTCTTATTAAGTAATTTCTTTCTTTCTTTCTTTCTTTCTTTCTTTTTTCTTTCTTTCTTTCTAGTAAAATTCTTTTCATTTTCTTCTTTCTTTCTTTCTTTCTTTCTTTCTTTCTTTCTTATAAAGAAATTTCTTTCTTTCTTTTTTTCTTTTTTCTTTCTTTCTTTTTTTCTTTTTTCTTTCTTTCTTTCTTTCTTTCTTTCTTTCTATCCGAATTCTTTTCATTTTCTTCTTTCTTTCTTTCTTTCTTTCTTTCTTTCTTTCTTATAAAGAAATTTCTTTCTTTCTTTTTTCTTTCTTTTTCTTTCTTTCTTTCTTTCTTTCTTTCTTTCTTTCTTTCTATCAAAATTCTTTTCATTTTCTTCTTTCTTTCTTTCTTTCTCATAAAGAAATTTCTTTCTTTCTTTTTTTCTTTCTCTTTTCTTTCTTTCTTTCTTTCTTTCTTTCTTTCTTTCTTTCTTTCTATCCAAATTCTTTTCATTTTCTTCTTTCTTTCATAAGAAATTTCTTTCTTTCTTTCTAGTAAAATTCTTTTCATTTTTTTCTTTTTTTCTTTCTCTTTTTCTTTCTTTCTATCCAAATTCTTTTCATTTTCATCTTTACCTTCTTTCTTTCTTTCTTTCTTTCTTTCTTTCGAATTAAAATTTCTTTCATTTGTCTCTGTTTTTTCTTTCTTTTCTTTTTTCTTACTTATTTAGTAATTTCTTTCATTCATTTTTCTTTCTTTCTTTCTTTCTTTCTTTGGTTCGAGCCAAATTAGTTTCATTTGTTTCTTTCTTTCTTTCGTTTTTTCTTTGTTTTTTTCTTTCTTTCTCATTTAGTCATTTCTTTCTTACTTATATCTATCTGATTTGTATTCATTTCTTTCATACTTTCATTCACTTTTTATTTCCCTCTTATTTAACCATTTCTTCATTTTGGATCGAAACCGAATTCATATGATTTCCTTCTTCGTCTTTATTTGTTTTTTGTTTGTTTGTTTTTTTTCTTTCTTTTATTTCGAACCAAATTCATTTCATTTCCGTCCTTCTGTTTCTTCTTTCTTTCTTTCTTTCTTTCTTTGTTCGAGCTAAATCCATTTTCTTTCTTTCTTTCTTTCTTTTATATAGCTTAGATACATTCATTTCTTTCATATTTTCGTTCATTTTCGCTTTTCTTGCTCATTAAGACTCTTCTTTATTCCTTTCTTTCTTTCTTTCTTTCTTTCTTTCTTTCTTTCTTTCTTTCTTTCTTTTTTTTCTTTCTTTCTTTGTTCGAGCCAGATCCATTTTCTTTCTTTCTTTCTTTCTTTCTTTCTTTCTTTCTTTCTTTCATTTCTTCGAGCCAAATCCATTTTCTTTCTTTCTTTCTTTCTTTATTTTTTTCTTTCTTTCTTTGTTCGAGCCAAATACATTTTCTTTCTTTCTTTCTTTCTTTCTTTCTTTCTTCGAGCTAAATCCATTTTCTTTCTTTCTTTCTTTCTTTCTTTCGTTTATATAGCTTAGATACATTCATTTCTTTCATATTTTCGTTCATTTTCTCTTTTCTTTCTCATTAAGCCTCTTCTTTATTCCTTTCTTTATTCCTTTCTTTCTTTCTTTCTTTCTTTGTTCGAGCCAATTCCATTTTCTTTCTTTCTTTCTTTCTTTCTTTCTTTGTTCGAGCCAAATCCATTTTCTTTCTTTCTTTCTTTCTTTCTTTCTTTGTTCGAGCCAAATCCATTTTCTTTCTTTCTTTCTTTCTTTATTTCTTTCTTCGAGCTAAATCCATTTTCTTTCTTTCTTTTTCTTTCTTTCTTTCTTTCTTTCTTTCTTTCTTTCTTTCTTTTATATATTCATTTCTTTCATATTTTCGTTCATTTTCTCTTTTCTTTCTCATTAAGCCTCTTCTTTATTCCTTTCTTTATTCTTTTCTTTCTTTTTTTTTCTTTCTTTGTTCAGGCCAGATCCATTTTCTTTTTCTTTCTTTCTTTCTTTGTTCGAGCCAAATCCATTTTTTTTTCTTTCTTTCTTTCTTTCTTTTCTTTCTTTTTTTATAGCCAAATCCATTTTTCTTTCTTTTCTTTCATTTGTTTTTCTTTCTCAAATCCATTTTATTCCTTTCTTTCTTCTTTCTTTCTTTTTTCTTTCTTCAGGCAAATCCATTTTTCTTTCTTTCTTTCTTTCTTTTATATAGCTTAAATTTCTTTCTTTCTTTTCTTTTCTTTCTTTGTTTCATTTCTCTTTCTTTCTTTTCTTTGTTCGAGCCAAATCATTTTTTTTTCTTTCTTTCTTTCTTTTGTTTCTTTCTTCGAGATAAATCCATTTTCTTTCTTTCTTTCTTTCTTTCTTTCTTTTATAGCAAAGCATTCATTGCTTTCATTTTCATTCATTTCTCTTTCCTTCTCATTATTCTTCTTTATTCCTTTCTTTCTTTCTTTGTTCATTTCCATTTCTTTTTCTTTCTTTTTTCTTTCTTTCTTTTCTTTTTTTCGTTTATTCCTTTCTTTCTTTCTTTATTCCTTTCTTTCTTTCTTTCTTTCTTTCTTTTTTCTTTATTTCTTTCTTTTCTTTCTTTCTTTGTTTCCATTTCTTTCTTTCTTTCTTTTCTTTCTTTCTTTCTTTGTTCTTTCTTTTCTTTCTTTTCTTTCTTTTCTTTCTTTTTTTTCTTTTTCTTTCTTTTAAGCCTCTTCCACATTCCTTTCTTTCTTTCCTTTCTTTCTTTCTTTTTTTTTCTCGATATAAGCCAATTCATTTTTCCTTTCTTTCTTTCTTTCTTTCTTTCTTTGTTCGAGCCAAATCCATTTTCTTTCTTTCTTTCTTTCTTTCTTTCTTTGTTCGAGCCAAATCCATTTTCTTTCTTTCTTTCTTTGTTCGAGCCAAATCCATTTTCTTTCTTTCTTTCTTTCTTTATTTCTTTCTTCGAGATAAATCCATTTTTCTTTCTTTCTTTCTTTCTTTCTTTCTTTCTTTTATATAGCTTAAATACATTCATTACTTTCATATTTTCATTCATTTTCTCTTTCCTTTCTCATTAAGCCTCTTCTTTATTCCTTTCTTTCTTTCTTTTGTTCGAGCCAAATCCATTTTCTTTCTTTCTTTCTTTCTTTTTTTCTTTCTTTCTGTCTTTCCACATCCTCATTATTTCTACTAATATATTCATTCATTATTTCTCAGCTTTGTTTACTTACGTCTTCTCATTCTTCACTTCTCTGTTTTGAATCCACCCCCTCCTCGGCCGCCGCCCCGTCCTCCACTCTCCGCCGCCCCCGTGTCCGCTCATTTCATTATTCTTGATGTTTATTCTCGCAAATAAATATCGAATATAAATTAAGATTTTTAAAATTGAACTTCGAACCCGAAAAAGTTTTTCCTTGTGCACTTCCTCGAAATGTGTGATATGTGCAACGATTAATGTGTGTGTGTGTGCGGGTGTGAAAGAGTAAAATACATTCGTTTCATGCCTTTGAATTTAGAGACATCGTCAGATAAACTTATTGATGTTTCCAGGAAGACAGATTAAAACTGGAAAGCTGCTACATATACACTATTAAATCAATACATATATATATATATATATATATATATATATATATATATATATATATATATATATATTATATATATATATATATATATATTTATTTATTTATATATATATATATATATATATATATATATATATATATACAGACATGACAGAATTGAATAGACACCAAGATAAATTTTATTTCTGATTTTTTAATAACCAAAGATAAATTAACTTAGATTATTTGATTAAAATTGCAGATAACAATACTGGAACATGCCACGAACCAAAAGGAGCCTCAGACCCATCCAATTTCAGTGAGGACGTATCGTGGGACAACATGAAGGTGGTCTTAAGTCAAAGAAAAAATCTTTGAAAATCTTTCAATGCCCTTTCTACTGTTAATAGAGTGATCGTACAATTCTGCAGAGGGCAAGAAGTGCACAAACCTCATCAGCCCCCCAAGGTCCCTCTGAAAAAGAACCATGCGTCTTGTCAGAAATAAATGTTGAACAGAATCCACGTTGCAAGGCCTCTGACATAGCAACATTGTTGATGTCAGTCCCAAACAGCTGTCAGGTATCTTCACAAGCTGAGCTACTGCTATAGGTGGAAACTGCGAGGCTGAAAACCCTTCTCCGTCCAGCCAATATCAAACGCAGAAAAGGATTTTGCCCATGATGGTGAAAGACCTGTGACCTTTTGGACCACTGTCATTTTCCTGATGAGTCAAGATTACATTATATATATATGAATATATATATATATATATATATATATATATATATATATATATATATATATATATATAAAAGAAAATATGTTGTAGTGGTTCAACGAGGAAAATATATTTCTAAAAAGAAAATTGCCATAAACGTTTTTTTGGATTGCCAACACACAAACAGAATGTCTCATTACAGAATATTCACATTGAACACGTGTTTTAGAAAACAATTATTTTAATATGTAGAAATTTCACTATTGCCTGAAAATAATTAATTTTCTTCAAACAATGTGGAAATTATTCAAAGTATTTATTTTTTCTCAATAACCACATTCTCTGTTTGTGTTTCAATCACCAATTTTCTTTTTTATATATATATATATATATATATATATATATATATATATATATAATTGTAATACATAGATTTTTTTAGGAAAATTCTTAACTATATTTTAACGTGAACATTTAGGGAAACTTTTTTCATGGAAGACACGAAAGTGGGAGGCATTTAAGGACTTTTAAATTCTTGTTTTTATACACACACACACACACACACACACACACACACACACACACACATATATATATATATATATATACATATATATATATATGCTGTTCGATAAAAAAGCGACTCACCTGATTTTTTTTTACTAATGTCTTTCTCCATGAAACGAATGTTGAGTTTAATTCAAAGGATTAAGCGATCTAAAATCCGAAAAAGAAGATTTGAAAGCTCTTTTGAATTTAACAAGTAAAGTACTGTCAAGCATCCGTTCAGTATAATGTTCTGGGGATTCTTTTTTTAGTGGAACTGGTTTCTTAAACCTATTGAAAAGACCCTCAGGAGCGAAACAGTACAAGATGATTTTAGAATCTTGTCTGCTCCCTTCTGCTGAAAGGGTGCAAATCGACCCCACCAAGCTACTATTTTTATGCAAGATAATGCTCCTGTCACAAATCAAAATTAATGAAGGAATACTTTTTGAGCAGGTGAGTGTTGTGACATAGCCGCCCCCCAATCTCCTGACCTCCAACCCCCCATAGAAAACTTTGGAGCATTATAAAGTACAGGCTCTCGAGAAAGCAGTTGAGCAACCTCTCTCATAAGACTACTGCTAAATTCAAAGAGCTTTCAAAGCTTCTTCTTCAATTTTAGATCCTTATCCTTTTGAATTTAGCTCAACTTTCGTTTTCATCGGAGAAGGAAAATTTAGTAAAATATCAGGCGAGTCACTTTTTATATATATATATATATATATATATATATATATATATATATATGAATCTGAACAGAGGAGGTAGATATTTAGATATAATGTATGTGATATATATATATATATATATATATATATATATATATATATATATAATAAAAAGGCTTAAACACTAATATTCCATGTCATAATTTATTCCATTAGAATCGTAAATGACCCAATTCAAAAGACCTACAAAATTCAAAAGAAAATAGAAAAAACAACTCCCCGAATAAAAATAAAATTTAGTGAGAGTGTATGTACGTGAGTGTGGGAGGAATTAATAGTTTAGATATATGATTACATATGTATGTGTATATTAACCTAATAATATTATATATATATATATATATATATATATATATATATATATATATATATATATGCATGGCTATCCCATATATATATATATATATATATATATATATATGGAAATAGATACATATATATATATATATATATATATATATATATCTTTATTTTAGGATATTACATCAAAGACATATGAATAACGCTACAAAAATGCAATCATGTTTCGATGTGCATTAACGATCACCAGGCGATAGTAAATGATCATTAGATAGATATGTTGAGATTTAAAGCCACATACAACATCTTTTCACGCGAAAATTTAAAAAAAAAATCTAGGTACCATACAATCTGATAAACAAATTCTGTTTAACATTTTTGTTGTCAGTTCTCGAGAAAAACGTATAACCCCAGTTTCACATGTTTGGGTTCTATTAAAATTCTAAAAGTAGCCTGTTAAAAAAAAATTAAATTTCTTGCGGTAATAGACAATAATTGAGGCGTCAAGAGAAAAACCATCCTTTGATACAACGTTTTTTTCTTTCTTTTTTATTCGGGAATATTTCCTGAGTTTAATTCTCGTTTAAGCGTGATTCTCGTTTGAGCTCGGTCATCAAGGACAAGGAGAAATATGAAGTGTAATAATCCCCAACTGAATCTGAGTAAATGTTCGCTGGCATTTCCTTACACTTAAAAACTCACTTCCATAAACAGTGCAATCATTATTCGCCGATTCGGAATTAGATGAACCCTTTTCGAACGCATAAAGCATGCAGTGATCAAATGGGGTCCCAGCTGCGTTCATCCTTACGGGTCACATGCGTTTGAAAATTATTGAAGTTGGCATTAAATAGACTTGCATAGAAAGAGAAACGGTCGGTACATTAAATTATCAGCATAGGCCTGCCTAACGCAATCATAGAGCAACTTTAACATTATCAAAACAAAACCAACGAAAGGAATTTATTTCCAGATAGATATGAACATATGATAAATAGATAGACAGATATATAGATAGATAGATAGATAGATAGAGACTAGAGTAGATAGATAGATAGATAAATATGAACACACTGAAATAGATAGAAAATGAACAGCTTGAGATAGATAGACAGATAGATAGAGACTAGAGTAGATAGATAGATAGATAGATATGAACTGACTGACATAGATAGAAGGATAGATAGATAACTATATAAACAAAGATATATAGATAGATAAAAGGGAATATATATATATATATATATATATATATATATATATATATAGTTCGATAAAAATTAAAAAACTGGAATAGATAAATAGATGGCTATACATATGAACAGACTGAGATAGATATATAAAATAGAATATATATATATATATATATATATATATATATATATATATATATATATACATAAATTTGAACATTCTGAGTCAACATTCAGAGGCGACTATCTATTTCATATTAGAACTATTTATATATATATATATATATATATATATATATATGTAGAATCTGAAACAAGAGGAGGTAGATATTTAGATAGAAATGTTAATATATATATATATATATACATATATATATATATATATATATATATATATATATATATATATATATATATAAATATAAACATTAGGCAGCATATAATTTACATAAAGAAATAATCACACAAGAATCAATCAAAGTATTAATGCAATTATTGGCGACATCCATCGCTAGAAACATAATATATGCATTAAAATACTGTTAATCCATAGAGTGAAATGATCCTCGGCGATAAACTTGATGTCTGTAGTTTTCAGTTTATTTGATGTTAAAATGCTAGTACTTACGAATAGTCCTCTATTCATCATCAGGCATGTGTTTTTTTCCTTATAAAATCAAAAACTTGGAGACGAAATACTTGTATGTCGACCGAAAGATATTTTTTGAAGAAAGAAACGGCAAGCTACTGCGGGAAAAAACAATCTGCCTTGTCAGTCATGTGTCGAAAGATACATGATCGCCTAAGCGTGTATCACGCATGGCACAGAACTGACTGAAATAACATGAATGTCTGGCGCATTTGGAAAGAGATCTTTTTGAGGTCAGGTGCAAAACCCATTTTCTAGATCGGCTTGTTGAAGGGCGATTTGAAATTATGTGTGAAATTTTAAATTTGTCTCTTATATGAAATCAACACTCAGAGGCGACAGGCTCTTCCATGCTAGACGCAATCGTTAGGCCTG